AATATTTCAAGATGGATTTAATGTGAGACTAAAAAACTTAGATCTCCCTAATCCAGATTTCAGCGAGGGTTAATTATCAGCAGGTAGATCAGATAATTTACCAAAAGGATAAGATTATTAATCATGTTTAAAAAAAACTCCATCATAATATTTTAACTGGATAATAAGTAATTAGGAAGACCTGCTAATTAAACGTGAAGATCATCTTATAAACATATTTTAAGAGCTTTTATTTTGTTGATCAGTTTCTGCAGTTTATATCAATTTAAATCAGTGTCACACTTTTGGCCAAATTAATATTTAATTTTTCCGATTTTCTTCAGCAATTATTTAGAAATTAAATTCAGTTTTAAACGTCAGGATTAGAGTTTCAATCTGTTTGATCAGGGTCTAGAATTCATTCATCTAGAAACGATAAACTGCTGCTTGGTCTGTTTATTATTTTGATTTATTTTCCCCTCATGAGGCCTTCTGGAACCGGTTCTGGGTCCGCATCAGGCCACCGAACCGAACCGAACCGGACCGGACCGAACCGAACCGGACCGGACCGGGACAGAGATGTTTTCTCAGGACAGATGCTGCCCGTTCTCTGTCGCAGGGATCAGACATGACGTCAGCCCCTACCCACCCGTTACTGGCACGCGCGCGCACGCACCGGAACGCGCCCTGTTTTTATCACTAATGTTGTGGCTTTGATTGGCAGCCGTGGGCGAGATTCTAAAGGATGATCACGTCACAATTAAAATAATATTCAATCATTAATTTAACATCCAAAGATAATTAATCTGTTCCTCAATATTCCGTCCAGATTACAGCTAATCCGGCCTTTAACAGGTCTGAACCGATCCGCTCTAATCATGTTAATATTACTGATAATAAATCAAAGCGGATTTAGGCCCAGATTTCTGATCCTTTCCCCCAGAAACAGCTGCTGCCTTCAGCGCTGATCATCCGGATGATGATGATGACAGAGAGGCAGAGTTCTGCTCACCATAGGCGGGTCCCAGCTCCATGATGTCCGCCATTTTGAGGCTGAGAGCAGCTTTGGACGCGAAGCAGCGCAGAGATGGAGGAGAACAGACTCCCACTTCACATCCGCACCGGAGGGGAAGCAGCGGGGAGGAATCCGCGGAAACACGCCTGTGATCCCGGGGAGGAAGCCTTCATGGGTCGCTCCGCTCGCTCCGCTTCGGTCGGTCTGATGCTGGGATGCGGGAGGATGCGGGAGGATGCGGGGAGTCTGCGCGGAGCAGCCCGAGATGAGACTGCACCAAGATCGTCTGCAACAGAAGATGGCTCACCGCGAAGATTCTTTCTCTGAGGGAAAACTGAAGCCTTTACAGATATTAGAGATGTAGATAAAGTTTATTCTTATCAGTTGTTTATATTTTAACCACAGACTTGTTTATTGAACAATAGACATAAACAATGTTTTTACAATAATTTACAAATTAGTATTAACTTTCATCACTGATAACAGAAACTGTAATTTGCATAAATTATATATGGATTCATTTTACCTCATTAAGAAGTTAATAGAGACAAACGCATAAAAAAAAATAATTGGTCTGTTATTTTTTTCATTTTTATATATAAAAAAGACTTGCCTTCTTTCACACTCTGCTCCATTTAACTTTATTATCTTAAATTGGGACACAACCTAGAACAGATAATGGATGTCTATTCTATTAACATTTCTCTATCTGTAGAATGGGTCTCTTTATGTGTTGGCTTCTCCATTCAGAGGGCCCCCTGCCTGTCTTTGCCTATGGCCCCACATTTCCTAAATCCGCCCCTGGACTGTTTGGATTCCAAAGGTTGTGAGTTCGATCCCCACAGTCTGCCTCTCTGGCTCCCTGAGCAAAGACCATTAAAGATCGCAAAACGCAATGTCCTCAACACCCTATGTAAATTTAAAATTACAGCTTTATGGGGTTCCAATAGTGCAAAAAAACGTGTATTTGTTCATGTACACATAATGGACATGTGGAAAATATTCATGTTATTCCGTCAGTATAAATCCTGCTGCTTTCCTTCCCTTTGGTAGAAGTTAGAGGATCGAATTCAGCTTTTTACTCCAGTAAAAGTGTAAAAGTACAATCTTTAAAACTGCTTAACGTATATAAGTGAAAGTAATGCAGGAACAATATTAAGGCAAGAAGCTTTACTGCTCTAATCTATTAAAGGAACATTTTTCTACAATTCTGGATGATAACTTCCTTAGACTTCGTTGTTTTATAGCTAATGTTCACAGAGTCACATTTAACTTTGAATCAACTTGATAAACTATTTATATATGTATGTGGTAAGCAACAAGTGGGGGCAGCACAGAGTCCAACCACAAAGAAATTAATTGTCTGGATGATGCTAATTATTTTAATGATTTCTTATGTTTTTTAAATAGGGCAAAATGAAAATGAACTTAAATAAAACAAAATGAGTCTATATTTAAAATTTAAAGAGTAAAAACGTTTACTCTTAACACCTCTGGTAATGTGTAGATATCTACATAGAGATGTAACATATTTATGTAGATATTTTGGCTGTATATGTAGTGTGCTTAAGTCAATCTAAGATTTATGAAGGTGCATCTTTTGTGCCGATGTTTGTCTCTGATCGGATGAATCCATTAAACTTACAGACATTAGCAGCTCCTGAACATCTAAATAAATTGACCTTATAGAGACATAAGTACCTAACAAATACAGCTGAACTACATATAATAGAACTCAGCAATTCATCAAACTTTCTGTTTATTTAGATAAACTTTTCCCCACTAATGGAGTCTTTGGGCTTCCATAGATCAGTGACGTCAGATAAAATATCCCACTGAATGATAACAACAGCTCAACATTTAGAGTGTT